GCAGACATGCACACACTGACCAAACTGAAGGTACTGCACGCACACACACACACACACGCACAAACACACACAAACATACACACACACACACACACACAAACAAACACACACACACACACACACACACACACACGCACGCACACACACACGCACGCACACACACACGCACACACACGCGCACACACACACGCACACACACATACACACACACACACACACACACACACAGAAAAGTGTTATTTTGTGTATTTCCTGAATCTGTATAGTTTTGTTACATTAATGGTGGATTATGAAGTGTGTGTGTGTGTGTGTGTTTACTCTGACCTGCGGTGGGCTAATGCATGCCTGATGTATTGGTGTGTGTGTGTGTGTGTGTGTGTGTAGAGCCACATGAAGGCGTGCTGTCAGCCGCTGCACGAGGACACGTTCGGGGGGAATCTGAAGGTGGGTCTGGCTCAGGTCGCGGCGATGGAGATCAGCAAGGGAAACCACCGAGACAACAAAGCTGTGATCCGCTACCTGCCCTGGCTATACCACCCGCCCTCAGCCATGCAGCAGGGGTAACCGCAGTGTGTGTGTGTGTGTGTGTGTTTCTCCACTGTCCACACTGCAGCTCTTACCCTGTGTGTGTTTGTGTGTGTTCAGACCCAAAGAGTTCATCGAGTGTGTGTCGCACATCCGTCAGCTGTCGTGGCTGCTGCTGGGTTCTCTTACCCACACTGCACTGCAGCAGGGCTCCTCCTGCTGTATGCCCATCCCGCTGGACGCCGGCTCACACATCGCAGACCACCTGATCGTCATCCTGATCGGCTTCCCGGAGCAGTCCAAGGTGTGTGTGAGTGTGTGTGTGCGCGCGCGTGTGTGTTATAGAGCTGTGCTGATCTCCTGTGTTCTGTGTGTGTGTGTGTGTGTCCCAGACGTCAGTGCTGCACATGTGTTCGCTCTTCCACGCCTTCATGTTCGCTCAGCTGTGGACGGTGTACTGTGAGCAGGCGTCCACCGCTCCCTCCAGCCAGAACCAGAACCAGAACCAGAGCGAGCTGTGCAGCGGAGCCCTGCTCACCGGCCTGGAGTTCTGGAGCCGCGTCACACCCAGCATACTGCAGCTCATGGCACACAACAGAGTGGTGAGAGACACACACACACACACTCAATGACTCACATATGCACACACACACACACACACTCACTCTCTTTCTCTGTGTATATGTGTGTGTGTGTGTGTGTGTGTGTGTGTGTGTGTGTTCAGATGGTGGAGATGGTGTGTCTGCATGTCATCAGCCTGATGGAGGCGCTGCAGGAGTGTAACTCCACCATCTTTGTTAAGGTAGGAGACCCTCTGCATCAGTGTCTGTCTAAATGCTGATGTGTGTGTGTATAATAGACATTCAGTGTGTGTGTGTGTGTGTGTGTGTGTGTGCGTATAATAGACATTCAGTGTGTGTGTGTGTGCGAGTGTGTGTGTGTGTGTGTGTGTGTGTGTGTGTGTGTGTGTGAGTGTGTGTGTGTGTGAGTGTGTTTGGTGTTGTAACGTCTTCTTCTCCTGTGTTCAGCTGATCCCCATGTGGCTGCCGATGATCCAGTCTAACCTGAATGTAAGTGTTGATCACAGCGCTGCTCCTGCTCTGCTCCACAGTCACATGTTGAAGCATCACTCCACTCCTCATGCTCATTTACAGCTCCTCTAGAGGCACACAGATCAGTCTGACCATGTCTGAGTCCATTCAGCTGATCTCTGGGTCTGGTGGAGCGCTTTTAGCTTAGCTTAGCATAAATCATTGAATCGGATTAGACCATTAGCACCCAAAAATGAACATTCTGTCATTATTTACTGGCCTTTAACTTGTTTCAAACCTTTATGAGTCTCTTTTTTATATGTTAAGCACAAAAGAAGATATTTTGAAGAATGCGGAAAACCTGTAACCATTGACTTCTGTGATATTTGTTTTTCCTGCTGTGGAGGTCAATGGTTACCGGTTTTCAGCTTTCTCAGAATATCA